CAGGAAAGGAAGTGATTCAGAACCACTGAGCGCAAATTAACAGATGACAACAGACTGTGGCAGGGACGGCGAGGTGACAGTTGCACTGTGAAAATGATGCTTTCACATTGGTGAGCACCAAGTAAGCAAAAACATGGGCCGAGAATGAGGAGAAAGACCAAAGACAGATATTTATTTGTGTTTGTGGGAAATGGCTTCTTGCAGACAAAAACATCATGAGAATCTCTTCTATAACCAGAATTCTATTGCAGAGAGGGGAAGTTAGATGTGATATTATTGTGCAGATATTATTTAAGCAGTAGAAAAAGGATCTGTCATCTGATGAATTTTTGAAATTTTGATGAATGATCTGTCATTTAAAAGAAAAAAAAATTGGCCATTTTAGGAAATACACATTTGCTTTCTTGTTGAGAGCTGAATGTCAAATGATACCACTCTCAACTATGATGCTACAGACAGCAGCCTGTTAGCTTAGTTGCAAATGGGGAAACAACTGGCCTCAACTTTGGCTGAAAGTACTGAACTAGGTAACCATTACCTCCAAAGATCACAATTGAACACACTATCTCTCATCCAACAAACAAGTGTTATCTTGAGAAAGAGCCGGTCAAGCTGTTTCCCATTTTGATGCTTTGTGCTAACCTTAACTAAGCAACTGCAAGCTATAGCCATATATTAGAAAGACAGGTGTGAGAGTGGAGGAGCGCTTTTCATGTAAAATAAGTATGTTTCCCAAAATGCTGAACTATTGCTTTAAGTTGTTTACTGAACAAATATGGCATTTTGACAAACAAAACAAAAGGACTGTTAGCTTGGGCTCTTAGACCTTGTGATGGTCATGCTTCACTTTTTCTTTTTACATTTTATAAATTATTAATCAATTAATTAAATATATAATCTGTCATATTGATTCCTAAAAAAACTTGAATTATCTGCTGGTGAAGATCTTTGAATTTATTTTTATTGGGAATTTCATGCATGCATCCTTAGCTAGTAATTACATTTTGATTGTTAATAACATCTGTTCTTGAAGATGAGACAAGAGAAGCATGAGAATATTTATTTTAGGACAGTTCAATACAGGGGGAGGTTCCATGGATGTGAAAATATGATGTCATGTGACTGGTTTTCAGCTGGTAATAAATGAATAAATAATGCAGCAGATTCCTTTAATGCCATCACTGTGGGGTTTTGTATTCCAAAACAACATTCCTCCTCTCATCTACTCATTCTGCTCTCCTTTCTCTTTATGTTTGCATCAGCCTCCTCTGGCTATGGTCCTGAAATGGCCACAGCTGGAACTCTGGTCTCTGACTAGTATGTCACCCTGTGGTCTGGATGCAGCACAACACATCTCCATTCCTTTTCTGCTTCCCCCCCCCCAGCTTTTAATTCATCCATTTTCCTTGATCTGACCAGAGTGCAGTTGTAGGTTCACTCAGAGGCTATAGGAAACATCCACAGCACAGTCCTCCCTACATGACCATACACTACAATACACCAGAACTTCCACTGTCAGATACTTTGTAACAAAGTCCTGGCAGCCAGCAGGATCCAAAGCAATATCTCTCTTCTTCTCTCATCCCCTCACTCTGAATGTAGCAAGCAAAGTAAGATGGAAACGTGTGGTGTGTAAACAGAGGAAGAGGGGGAGGAAATGAAATGAATGGGGAAGTATGAGCAGGCAATTGTCTGCGTGTGTGTAATTAAACTGTCTTGACGCCTGAAATACCTCCAGGGTGCTAAGCCCCATCAGACACCCACAACAGGTGGAGTGTGAGGGAGAACTGGATGGAAGTTCACACACAGCTGCTCTGAAGAAAACTGTTGGAGTGCATCCATCCATCTCTCCAAAAAAAATAAAAAGAAGAATAGAGCTCTTCATAAGCTGAGTGTGTCAAACAGCGCGCGTAATGCGGCCGAAAAGTGTTTAGTAAACTCATTAAATGGCCAGACAAGGAAGTGATGAACGAAATCGTCTCTTTAATAAGAGAACTAAAACTAAACAAAACCATACAAGACAAGGTGAAACACAAAACTCACGGTCGGTATCAGTCCCAGGTCAGAGCCAGCAAACACATACATTCAGGGGAATCCAAAGTTCGTTGTCCAAAAGAGAAAGTCCGATAATCATACACCGTGGCAGTCCGTAACAAGAGGGCGAGGCAGAATAGAATAGTCCGAGGTAACAGTCCGAGATCAGAAACACAAAATACCAAAACTGAAATAAATGCTGGAAAGTCAGAGCTGGGGTCTAGAACAATCTGGCAGGGTCCTTGTGGGAGGACGCTGCCTAAATAGAGGTGAACACAGGTGCAGGTAATAACGAAGCAGGTGAAACTAATGTGAGTGATAAAGAACGTAAAAAGACCGAAACTAAGGTGAAAACAAAAACAGAAAGTAATGTCAAAATAAAAGCCGGACGAGAAGCAGCGGAACCGAATCATGACAGAGTGAGGAGATGCAACAGAGGAACAGATGGAAGGAAGAGTAGATAAAACAATGCTTTGTTTTTCTTCAGGCAGTGAATTCCCAAATTAGAGCCTAACCTTAATTCCATGCCTTCATATAAAAAATGTAAACCATTGTTTCTGTGGCTCCCAGTATGTGTATGCTTGTATGAACATGAGTTTGTTATGACATGTGTAGTGACAGAGTAGTAGTTACTTACAGCCAGATAGAGCATGGTATACATTGAAAAAGAGGCGTGTCCTGAGAAGAAGGATTTCCTGTACAGAAAAACATTTTCATCAATCAGTTTTTTTTTTATTCAAGCAGTATTTTTATATGACATGTACTGTGTATGTATTGGTGTTTACACAAACCTAGCTTCCTGTACATCACTCTCACTGCCAGTGCAGGTGTAGTTGGTGATGTATCCCAGGGAACAGTTGATGGTGGAGGGATCTGGTTTACATACATCTAAAAAGTGGGGTCTCATACGACCCACCGACACCTTGGCAATGTCTGTGAATGACTGGCTGACGGCACAGCCAAAGAGAAACACACCCACCTGCAAGATGACATATGTGAATGATTAGACATAATATCAATGTAACTGTCTAGAATTGTCTCTAAAAGCACAGAATGAATTACAGCCTGACAGACCTGCTGTGTAGTAACAGGTGCAAAATTATGATTGGACAGTTGCTGCTCAGTGGGGGTGGGGTAAGCAAACAGCTAAGCATGTAACCTGACCATGTATGAAAGAACCTTTATGCTGACCTGTTTGTAGAGAGCTGCCACATAGGGATTTCCAACAAAAGACTTGGTTCCCTCATGTAGTTGGTGAATTCTGAAGCATTCACCAATTGCAATCTGCAAGAGAAGAGTTAAGATTTTTTTTTTTAAACAAATAACACTGGTCATAAATTATATGATATAATGGTAGCAATATGATGCTGCTGAATTGTGCAGCTGTACAGTTGATTTAGATGCAGATAGCATGCAATACAATCACAATGTTTGAGTGTGTATCATGCAGGAAATCTGACCCAGGTGGAGCAGAAAGGATGTGCAAACGACAGAAAGGACATTCAGAATAAGTGAGAGTCACACACAAACATGCAGAATGAGCATGGCCTCCCCTTCCCTTGGGCAGTTTGGATGCGATGGGAGATTATTGATCAGTTTTGGTCTGTGATATGATGGGACCTTTAATGTCAGAAAGGAAGGATAATGAGGCAGTGGAAAACACCATGAAAAGGAAAACATGAAAACTTAGTAATCTACTCAGAGTCCACATTGATTTAAGAAGGATTTATATCAGGGTCTTTTGCAAGGCTTAAGTTAGGGTGTTAAGTTGGCTCCTGTGGTATGACAGACAAATGGTCTGACGCAGTGTTGGCCCCTTAAAAGATCTCATCTACAGTGAGGGAGTTTACACCAAGCCAGTCCTCGGGGAACTGAAATGTCAATCATTTCTCTACCACTTGGGGTATAACAGACCCGCTGCTCTCCAACACTAACCTCTCCCTTTCCTTATTCTGTCCATACACACAAAGCGTCACTCTTCAGTCTACCTTCTCACACAGTCTCATAGGAATACATGCATCTGCCCAGCTATCTCAGAGTTAGCCAACACTCAGAACTTAAGAATGAGAACAGCACTAAGTCTCTGCACATGTGCATATTTGTAGCTTTAGCGTTTCTGCCATCCTATTAATGGAGGAAAGCACTGTTTTTGTATGTACATGTAGTGCATGTGTATTGTTAGGTCTGATAAACACACCTATCCTGCCTGTTGGGTGGTCAGCTAGAAAACAAACATTGTGGTGTATTAGTTTGTATGTGCTATTGTCAGTGAATTGCTCTGATCTAAGACAGAGATTAGAGCTGCAGGAGGCTGATACAGGCCAAAGATGTTTATTTGGGTTGTCAGCATCTGCATGCAAACCTCTCCTCCCCTCCTCTATCGGCCCATCTTGGTTTGCCAAAAATACACCGGGCTCCTTCTATCAGAACACATGGCTCTATATGTGTCTGATAGGTTTATGTGAATCCTCAATGTGTATGCTTGAAGAATTCTGTCTCACTATTGCTAAATTTGTTTCTCACAGTGGAAAAACAGGCCTGTCTGTCTGAGCAGCGGGACCGCTGGGATTTCCCTTGCAATGACGATAAACCAAAAGGCCCAAATGGAATTTGTTACCAGTGAATGTACAGTATATGTGTGCATATATATACAGTATGTGTGAGTGCGCGCATGTGTGCTTTAAAGGAATGGTGTCAGCATGGCAGTAGACACCACTAATGGAACACAGCTGTGTGAGACATGCCAGCTTTGACCACACGTGAACACGTTAGGGAACTAACACAAATGCAGTCTCCTGGTTCTAATAAGCAGAAGAGCTGAGCTTGTACTGTGTGTGTGTTTGTGTTTGTGTGTGTGTGTGTGTGTGTCTGCCCACCAAGCTGATGATGGGAAGATGGCAATGAAGCGTCTCAGTTTGAGAACTTAGGAGGGGGCTGTGTCACAGAGAATCTGGCCACATAGCATTAAATGACATACCCCACCTCATGTCCCTACAATAGGTTTCCACTAACTCTGACCCCCTCTTATCTGCTGGCACAGCACTTCCCTCTCATACTGTTACTAACTGGTGAGACAACCCAGGCTATCAGTATAAGGCACTGTAGACATGGGAGCCAGCACTGACCATTCATCCCATGTAATGTGCAGTCAGTGTGCAGGGACACAAGTGGGAGGCAGGAGAATGGACCAGGAGCTCGTAAAAACTCTTTGGTGTACAGGATGCATGCATCAGCATACATACACACAAACACACTTCTTCATGTCACTTGGGGGTAGGGGCGGGGCTTTATAAATGGCTTGGTTGACTCAAAGAGGAAAGAATAAGGATATGAAAGAATAAGATGTGACAAAGACAACAGTATAACATGGATAGGGAAGACATATAAGACACATTTATGACAAAAGACTAGAGTATTTTAAAAAATACTGCATGATGGGAAATCACTCAAACATTTTGATTAAGGGGCTATGTTAGCTATTGAATTGTGAAGTATCTAAAAAAAGAAGTGTCTGTAAATTAAGAGTAAAAACAGCAAATAAAGGGAGGTGTAAAGGTCAACTTACAGAGAAGATGGCAATAAGAATGCCAACACCAGAAAGCACGGCATCACTAATGGTGTCTCCCTCTTTTTGGGGGTAGCGGATGGACTCGTCTGAACAGTAAAATCCGCGCTGGTACGGCTTTATGGTGCTAGTCTCAATGATCAGGAAAGGCAGGCTAGCTACAAAAGACAGTGAAAGAAGGGAGCAAAGAGAGAAAAAGACAGGAAGAGGGAGAGAAGCACTAGGTCAGTGACAGATATAAACAAGAGAGAACACGGGGGAAGCACAAGGAGCATGCTGGCAGTTGGGGATCATGGAATATGGCAGAAGTGGGAGGGGCTTAATGATGTCATATATATGCATTATATCAGCTTTTCAGCATTTTACTAGATATAATACATCAGTGTCACATCATCATAGCCACCTACATGGACCCCCAGCCCTCCCTGTTTCTGCCTTCAGTGTTCCCCACAGCCAAGTACTCTTTGTGTAGGAGGACTTACGGACACCGCAGGCAGTGTCAACCCAACAGAAATGAGCACAGAGGAGGGGACGGTGCTGCTTCTGAATGGGTAGTTCAGGCTGGAGTCACTGCAGTAGAAACCTCGCTGGTATGGTCGAATAGAGGAACGGTGTAGAACAAGGCTGGGCAGCATAGCTACACACACACACACACACACACACACACACACACACACACACACACACACACACACAAACGCATGCACACACATAAATGGATGTATGAACCCATGCATGCATACATACATAACCCATATAGCTAACTCCACTTACCTGTAAACTGAGGAAAAATATCAGATTAAAACACACATTAACAGACAAAACTCTTCAGGTGTGTGTGAGCTCATGTTAACATTAAATGGACCGTTTGCTCAGCAAGCCCTCTCCTGCTGCTCCTGTTGACACCGGCCTATCCTTTAGCATTCACCCCCTCCTGACAGAGCAACTACACCCTCACAGTCAAAGCTAGGGCTCCATTACTGGAGACAAAAGAAACACACTAATATGGGGATGTCAATATATTGTGAGGATTTCAGTGTCATGAACTACAGAAGAACAGGGTGCCATTCCAGTAAGACTGTTGAAAAGTTTAGTCTTTTCTGACATTTTGGGAAATACTTATTTGTTTTCTTGCCTACAGTTAGATATGCCCATATCAAAAAAATTTTATCGACTCTTATAACCACTCTGATGAGGATCTGGAGGAACTTTATCCAGCGATCTCAACAACAGACAAACAGATGAAAGCAGTGCTAGAAGTTTGGTTGCTAAAATTAATTCAGCTGTTTGCTTCATCAACCACACACACATACCCCATTGTGACAAATTATGACAATCTCCAAATCAAAATAATACAAATACATGCAAACTTTGGAAGGGACTTTTGAAGTTTTCCTTAAGAAATTTTAAAACGCGCAATTACCAAGAAAAACAAAACTAAGCCATTTCAACGCTGGAACATTTTTCACGAGAGTAGGTCTGGCGTGTACACAAACCATAGTAGCTCATAAAGAGAGGGAGCTCAAGACATGAAGGCGTCCTGAAGACAAACACACACAGACACGCCAACATATAGATTCAATGTCAGATTGCACAGAAAGTATTCTCGCATGCGGTTTATCTGGTTAGCTCACATAACAGTGATTTTTGACATCTGGGTCAAAGTCAAAGATATACTCATGGATGTTAATAATGCAGCTGAGACCAACAGCTGTCATCTCCCGAGTGATGGGAAAGGGGTGTCATGTTTCTGGTCTGCCCAGAAAAGCATACAGCTGTGTGAACTTGAAAACTCTTAAAAACCTCAAAACACTTTGTTATGCATGCTTCAGAGAATCACAGTTTTCAGGATCCAGAACATCCACTCACTTGGATGAAGGTGCACAAAGTGACTGTGCGACTGATCAACAAGAACCAGGCCTGTGGCCAACAGTCAAATCATTACTGCTAGTTAATGGACGCTTTGACCGTGTTGTGATGTGTGCTGGTCTAGGTGCATGCACAATGCTCGCACACTGTGCTTCTTATACCCTAGGACACCCTACGCAGGACATGCATAACATAAAAAATAAAAAGGTGACTGTGTTCATTGGGTTTTGTGCACATCAATGTATATGCATTTATAATAAATACCATTTAGACTTGTGATTGTGCGCCTTCACCTCGTGCATGAGCAGATTCGTTTCCTCAGTGGAAAATCATATTGACATCTGACCCAGCATGTCCACCAGAATGCTAGCAATCCACCAAATGTTCAAGGTTACACACTGATTGGAAAATCGCATGTTATGCCCAAAACGCACCCCTACTTTAATGAAAAGATCAAGTACAGCCCTTTTGCTACTTGCACAGGCGCTTGCACTGGTTTTCCTCATTGTCAAATTACTGAAATGAACATTAACACACCCAAACACCACTTGTGCAAATTATTCTTGATCAGATATAGAACCTCAAAATATGGCCCTATATGTTATCTTCCCAATTCCTCACTCCAGTCCTTTTGGTGGTGGTAATGCACCATTTTGTTGTTTACCAACCACCATCAAAATCCGAAATTTGATCATGCATATAGTAAACAAAGATTTTTTTAAAAAATGATCTAAAGCTCCAGAACAGCTACTAAGATGAACTTGAGGCAAGACAGTTTTGCCGACTGCTGCTGAGTGATGTCAGTCATAGGGAATCTTTCTGGCACATTCTTCTTCTTCTTCTTCTCATGTGAACATAACAAAACAATTCTTTAAAAAAAACACATACAGCGAGATTTAAAGCTACAGTATGTAACTTTTGCCCAGTATTTTTGTTTTAGAAATATGCTCCAAAACCTAATGTGGAGACCAGCTGTCCAAGCCTCCTGGGACCCAGACTCATTGAACAGCTCTGGCAGCAGCAAAGAGATATTAACTTCTAAAAGATTTTGAGCAGGATTGACCTTTCTAACCAATCAGAGCTTTTCAATTATTTCTGCTTGATCATTACTTTTGTTGTATTCTCTTTTATTGTAATTTCATAACTACAAATATTGGAAGAGCTGGGAAGAGAATGGCGGAGTGTATTAGATCATAATAGAGCATAGTGAAGCAGGGAGAAGGAGAGCTGGGTGGAGCTGAGTGGATTGATTTGGAGTTTCATGCTAATGCTACCTTAAGTTGCATACTGTAGCTTTAAGCATTTTTATATTGTTTTGATCTTTCCGTGTAAAAGATCAAAACAATATTGTCTCTCCTTTCAGTGGCACAAACTCGGTAAAGACTCACAGGGAAACAAATGTGCAGAAATCGAATCATGCTTTCTTTCACATCAGTCTACTCTCTCCATCCATTTTCTCCTCCTTCTCCTTCCCTCTTTTTCTTTGTCACTCCACTCTGGCCTACTTGTGGAAGGGGGTATTCAGATGTTAATGAGGAGAAGTGAAAGGAGGTCATGGGCTTAACAGACTTGGGAAACACACACACACACACACACACACAAACGCGCACATGTAAACCAGTGCTTAAAGGATGAAAAAGTTCAAGAACACCATTGGAAATTTAAAAGTTGAGTAGCTGAATGGCTGAAAAGGGAACGTGAAAGAGAGCAATTGAACTCCTCAACACTATTTTCTGAGAATTTATGAAAGCCTCACTGTCAGCAAGTTGCCCAGCCTTGAGATGCCAAGCTGTTTTGTGCTGCCCCCCCAAACAGCCTGGTATGTGGGCATTCTCCCCATACCACAGTCCATGAAACTCCCAGCTCAAAATTAAACACACTCCAACACCAGCACTACAGTACAGCCCATCTGAGTCTCATCTGCAACCAGCGGTGTGAAGAAATATGGCCTCTTTTACAGCAATGGGATAAAGAGCGTGTGACCTTCACAGGGCCTGCTGACCCAGAAAGAGAGGAAGAGAGAGGTGGGGGAGTGTCAGCAGAAGGAGAGAGAAAAACAAAAAGGGGAAGGAGAAAGAGATGGGCTGGGCTGTTGGCAAAAGCATCCAGTGCATTCATGAATTAAAAAACAACTATTTTACCAGCTGTCACAAGGTCGGTAACATTGAGTAATAACTGAGATTCCTAAATCCTCACCAAAGCACACACTCCTAACTTATTTCAATTAATGTCATATAGAACAGTGAATGTACATTTTTATAGTTACTCCAGCCCAGTTTCACCTTTAGTTTTAGTTTTTGGCTTACCAGAGATAGAGCTGCATTTTTTTTCAGCCAATGAGCCTTATGAGCTACATTAGCTTGCCACTGAGTTGCTTTTACTGAGGGACCTAAAAACCCCTCAATGGTGAGAAAGAGAAAGGGAGGGTCCAAAGGTAAGGTGAAAGCAGCAGGAGAAAAAAATCCATATCCTAAGTAGGTGGCTTGGTGAATTTGGGAACAGTTCTATTTGTATTATCAGATCCTGTCTTGCACTTCTCTCTTTCAGGCTGCAAGAACCACAGCAGACCACTAAAGACTAGGAACCACAGGTCAGAGAGAGAGCGAGAAAGAGAGAGAAGAATTTCTTTGGCTGGTTGAATCAGTGTTTATATGCAGAGGTCATAGCAAGGCCTTTGTGTGTGTGTGTGCTTGTTTTCCATCGTAAATCCACTCACGTGTTCATGCTCCACTGCCTGCTAGAAATCACAGCAAAGTATGTTCACATGTGTTTACATATCGCGCGCGTGTGTGTGTGTGCATATATTTGACTGCTTTAAGCTTAGGTGTGTAGCTTGTTAAGTGCACATGCATGCAATTGTTTGTGTGAAAGAGATTACTCAGCTGGCACCCGTTTGATTGGCTTTGAAGTTCAATTTGGCATAACAACTGAATGGTTAGATTTGCAGGACTAACAAGGACTAGGTCTTTTTACATTTCCCACATCCATAAAATAAAGAAAAACACTTTAAAAATGTTTGCTTGTTTGTTTTTATCAGTACACAACACTTTGGTGCATTTCAGCAGTGGTCATTATTAGCCTACCCAGTCCTAAGTTCCTCAGTCATGCAATGTTGTGTTATTTTCTCTGATCTTAAGAGCAACTGTGCCTGACAGAACAGGAAACAATAGCTAAATCTTATGGCAGCTAAAGCTTTGCATCCCTCAAAATGTTAGTTCCCTTGACTTGAATTTCCCTGTAAAGCAGCACCTGTGGGTCTACAGAGACTATAGCGGCAAGTTGCCTGTTCTCCACTCTCATGTCTCTCATCACGCTATTGACATTTTAATGGGCTGTCATGACTTTCAGGGGCAGAATTAGAAGGATATCATGATTATAGTGAGTGAGCCCAAGTGACAGCAGTGAGCATGAGAAGCGAATGGGAGGCGGAGCAGGGCAGAGGAAGAGGCATTGTGGTCTGGTCTAATGAAGGATTTCCTCCTCCTGTCACTCAAGCAAACCCTGTGAGCCATCCTTAGGAGTGGGACAGAGGGAGAGAGAGAGAATCATTCAGACAAAGGTCAGAGAGGGTGGAGGCTGAGGGGATCTTGACTCCATAGACTGGCCAGTCAATCAATCACATTTCGTCTTCTCTACTTCTCTGATTTCTCTCACTGCTTTGTAACATACTGCTCTTTGGGAATTTGCCGCTCAGCTCAGCCAAGAGAGGGGCTCTGTACCAAACCTCAATGCCTTTTGGTACTAATTGAAATGTATCCAGGGCAGAGA